TCTTATTTTCTTTTATAAATGGGAATTTTAAAAGTTAAAATATAAATGCAAAATTTTAGTTTTATAAAAAAAAATACACATATTTTTTTCCCGTTTCCGTTTCATTTTCTCCTCTTTGTGTTGATTTCTCAAACAAAGTTTTTTTTTTCTTTAAAACTCGTTCAATTGCTAGCTGTTATAATATTATTTGTCCCCTTTTATCGTTTACTCGTTGAGAAAGAAAAGAAAAACATGCTAGTATCATTTGGGTGTAAATAAATTGTATATAGTCATTCAGCAAACTTTATATACTGTATCATATCATTCAGAAGACTTTATATATTATGTGAGGTCATTAATCAGACTTTATAGATTATATCAGGTCATTCATCAGACGTTATAAATCGGCCAGGATATTCTGCAGACTTTATAGATTTTGTCTGGTTTTATGAATTTGTTTATCAAACCTCAGGCTATGTCCCATACACGAAAACTCCATTTGTGTATTTAATGTTCAATACATGATTGATTGAGTCTCCACTCGATCGGAATCACCTTTGTGTACTGGTGATGTTTGAGGGTATTGCTTTGTTTTATTGTTCCCATGTTGGCTAGGGAGGCTTGACTACTGCTATGTAGCATGCGAGGTCTGGGGTAGGAGGTTGCATGAATGGAAGGTTTATCAAGGCGTACTGACTAGGAATGTGATATGTCGCATGGCGTATGAATATAAACACGAAGAAAAACCGAACGTAGATCCCCCGTTGATTCAAGGAATTGCAGAAAGTAGACACCTTGTTCTGCGACTTGATTATGATTTCCCAGTCTTCAGCTTTTCTCAGAAGTAACCCATATGTCTTGTTCGAATTTCTCCGTGTGTCTATAGCGATGACACATCTTTCTTGTAATGTTCTGCATTTTGTCCTATGAGTAAGCCATCGTTTTGTGATATTTCTCAATTGTCCCATCTTTCTTGTAATATTTTCTCCAACTGCCCATTAGTAACCCATCTTTGTTGTAGTATTTTTTTTCAATTGTCGCCAATGGTAACCCATTTTTCTAGTTATATCTTCTGCTTTTTGTCCCATCCTTTTGGGATATTTCTCAAATGTCCATTTGTTGCAATACTTTCTCCTACTGTCCATTAGTAACCCATCTTTATTGTAGTATTTTCTTCAACTTTCCCATTGGTAACACATCTTTCATGATCGAACTTTTACATGTATCCCAAGTGATAACCCATCTTTCTTGTGATGTTTTTTTTTACAACTGCCGCCAGTGATAACCCATCTTTCATTTACCAGTTTACATCTTCAGGCATGCAAGACTCTTTTTTGACCTTTTGGATTCCATGTTAGATCCACCCACGAACCCCTATCTCTCACTCCTCCTGCCCCCCTCCCCCCCCCCCCCACAACTTTGCTTTCTCTTTCTCTCCTCTCTCTCTAACTCTTTCTCTATGTCTGTATATATATATATATATATATATATATATATATATATATATATATATATATATATATATATATATATATATATACATATACATATATATATATATATATATATATATATATATATATATATATATATATATATATATATATATATATATATATTCTTGGTGGGTTGTGCACAGTGCCGACCTAGTAACGCCTCTTTCCTAGACTTTCTGAAAAGTCCCAGGGCGGGAACAGTACGAATGCGGGCCACTAAGCCGGTGACACACAAAAAAAAAAATAAAGAATACGAACTTCAAATGAGAAGATCTGTTTTTCTCCGATTAGTTAATAATTTTTTTTAAAAAGAAGATAATTATATCTTTAGACACAGGGTAACAAAATCGAAAAATGGGGTGACACCACATTTGTATAGATTTAGTACATCTTATACAGAGTCTATAGCGAAAACGTAATGACAACATGATAAACCACACTGGGTGTCACACGACCTAATGACGCCACTGCACTGTCTCCTAACTGATTTAATTACGAAGCTATGGATCAAATTTTTTTCTCATGCATCGCCTCCCTTGTGTCTGATATATTTAACCAATGAAATCCATCTATTGTACGTAAACAAAAACGCCGACAACAACACGAAAACGAGCCGTGTTAATGTTTGTCATTTGAGAAGAATTTCTTTGTCCCAATGGCTGTTGTTTGACGTCATCAATTCACCACCCACGTCAAAGTTTAACGCCCTATCCCTGTACCTTTAAAACCCTTACCACATTTTTTTTTCTATTCAACCATTTAATCGAAAAAAATCCGTTTTCATTAAAAATCGTCTTTGTTTACTTTCCGGTGAAAACGGCTCCATCAAAGACACGAATCTATTGAAAGGTGAGCGCCCTAAACACGTATTTTAAACACACAAAATCTTGTTGGCAGCGGTAATCGAATTTAAGAACACAACGGAAATTTAATAATTAAATTCGCACTGTGCGTTGTATATATAATTACAACCAGGGAATATGTGTGTGTTCTCTTTTTTTTGTTTCGATTTTAATTTCATGTCGATAGTAGCTTTTCAATATAAAACCAAAGCTTTAAATTTAAATTATTTTTTAATGAGTTTACATACAAAATCTTGTTTGCAGCGGTAATCGAATTTAAGAATACAACGGAAATTTAATAATTAAATTCGCACTGTGCGTTGTATATATATATAACACAAGATAGACAATTACAACCAGAGATTATGTGTTTGTTATCTTTTTTTTTTGTTTCGATTTTAATTTCATTTCGATAGTAGGTTTTCAATATAAAACCAAAGCTTTAAATTTAAATTATTTTTTTAATGAGTTTACTTAATTAATCCTCTGATTGTGTACATAGAAACATTGCCTGCATACTTTGTTGTTGTGGCTGTTTGTCGAGACAAAGGTAGAATTACATTTTGCAAGCTAACTCAGTCTCGTAACAATATCGTTGCAAAATCAACGACCACCACCACCCACCCTCCTTTGTATTTTTTTTTAGATGCGTGTTATCACACCTAGATTACCCCTCCCCATACCCCTCCCCACCCACATCAAGTAAAAAAAAATAAACCTTAGGTTTAATCATGAGAAAAACGAAATCTGTGTTTTTTAACTATAAAGGGAAACAACATTTTAAAAAAATCTTTGTTTGTATAACATGCGGGAATTGAAAGTGAGACGAATGTTTGATTAGGTTCCCGTGAACTCACCAAATATATCAAATTTAGTAAGGAATCAACTTCGCAAACAACACTGTTATGTCAGATTTCTTAATGGTGGTTATTTCTAGTTGAGTACACGTTTGAGTTGACGTTATAAATGTGCCAGAAAAGGTCTATCTAAAACTTGCATTAATTTTTAAAAATGAATGATTCAGTTATTTCTGTTGAGGCGTGTTCTGGGCTAAAATTTAAGCCTAGTTTGGCTTTAGGAATTAGAGTTTAATGTTGATTGGAGTGCTAATGGCTTTGTCTTTAAGTTTGAAAACAAACAAAACCGTATTATTTCAAAATGTAAAAATGTATTATTTTGTTAAAATAAAATTAATTTTAGACATTGTAATGTGTAGCAGCAGCTTCCAATTCTAACCTGACGATCAACACTGCAGATAAAGTAGAGTTCATCTGTTTCTGTAAGTGATTACGTAACATCAGATCAGGGTGAACTCAGGGACGTCCTATAGAACCGAATACTGGATTTGAACTTCAAACTTTCGGGTTTTGGTATATAGTTGTATGACCTACCGAGGTCTAGTCGTAATATATCTAAACACAAAAATCACCTACGAAACTTGTTTTAAATTTAGAGAATATTTAATGACGAAAGTGGTCAATTAAAACATGTTCAGCTGGAATTCATGACATCTAATCCTATATACTTATATAGATTCCATATTTAAAAAAACTGTTCAACTGTTTTTGTTTTCTTTGCAGTTCATTCAATCGATCATCACACACCCCCAGAGGCGTAGCGACCCTTCCCGGCGCCCGGGGACATACTTTCAATTTGGCGCCCCCTTGGGAGCAAATTTTCGATTTGCACCCCCCCTCGAACTTTTCATTTGCACCCCCCCCCCCCCTCGAACTTTTCATTTGCACCCCCCCCCCCTCCAAACTTTCAATTTGGCGCCCCCCTAAGGTCGGCGCCCGGGGACATATGTCCCCCCCGCCCCCCCTCGCTACGCTACTGCACACCCCCCTTTCCACCCGGTTTATATTCATGCACCATATCACATTCCTAGTCAGTACGCCTTGGAAAGGTTCGTTGGGGTACCACTTTTAATCATTTTTTTCCATCTTTGTTGTTCTTCTGATTCTTTTAGAAATTCTGCAACTGACAGTTCAGTCCATTCCACATTACGTCCTCCATTCATTGCCGTTATTGCCTTATCGTCTCCTCCCTTCTTTGACCGTACCCAACACGATTGTTTTCGATGGGCAGCTGGCACGTGTCCAGTGTCTTGTGCCCATACCACCTGACTTTCGTCGCTTTCATGATACTCGGGTTCTCAATTGAACCAATTGCATTTGTAATTCTTTCACAAACTGATTTATTTGTTACGAGCCTACCCGTGGCGTAGCATACGCCGATATTTAGTGATGGGTGAAACTTCCTGGAAGACAGTTGTCTAAATGGGGTGGGTGGGTACTCACTGTTGCGCATGCCTGGAGAGCGAGGGAGGGGGCGGGAGGAGAGTTAGAGAGTCGGCGTGCGTGTGGTGTCCCTCATGGTTGGGCGACGTAGCGATTTATATATATCGATACGCTACATGTATCAGCAGTATTTCTTCCAGACTTTTTTTTACCGGGGATGGAGGGCGGGGGGGGGGGGGGGGGCACTAGTAAAAGTGTATGTTTACTATATAAATTCCATCTCGTGCGGGGGGGGGGGGGGGGGGGGGCGGTAGACTTTCTTCCGAAGAGATGCCTGGAAACTCTGTGTATCAGAACCCTGAATAGTCAATCATAATTAATCTTATCGATTACTACATCTTTTAATACTTTAATGTAATTTATTTCTATTCGTGCCTTTGCAGGTTGTTGAGATACTCTTCACCATGAACGAGAACCGGTCAGTCACACTGACCGCGTCAAACTACACGAGCGTGACCTCTGACCTGGTGACCAGCACTTCCGCCCTGCCCCCCTACAACACGACGGATGAGCTGCACGCGATCCTGTACGAGCTGAGCCAGGAGCGCGCGCTCTACAACATTCCCGCCATGATCTTCGTCTGCCTGCTCATGTTTCTGGGCGTGGTCGGCAACAGCTTGGTGGTTTACGTATACAGCAGCCGCTTCAAGAAAACCTCGTCTAACTACTTCATCCTGACCATGGCCGTCTTTGATCTGATTGCCTGCGCTATCGGCATGCCGACGGAGATCTACGATCTCAACAACCCTTACACGTTTTACAGCGTAGCCGGGTGTAAAATTCTACGCGGGTGTGAAGTCTTCAACGTCTACGGTTCAGCTATTGTACTTGTGGAGATCGCGTTCGACCGGTATTTCAAAATCTGCCGGCCGCTGATGATGGTGAATTTGTCTCGTATTCGAGTGCAGTGCGGTCTTGCTGTGGTGCTGGCTGCGGCGATGTCGGTCAGCGCTTTTTTTCTGTTCGGCATTGACCGGAACCACACCCCCATCCCGGGGGTGTACGGGTTCGACTGTTCGATCTCGGAAACGTACAAGTCGTCGACGTTTCAACTTGTTTACTATTTCGTGCTCGGCGCTCTGTTTTTGATCACGCTTGTCGTGTTGATTGGTCTGTACATCCGCATCTGGCTAGAGATTCGATGCCGGCGGAGGCTCGTCAACGGGGAGCAGATCCCCAGGGAGAAAGACACGGACTCCAAAAAACGGATCCGCATTAAGTACCTCCCCAGCATGAGCGAGGACGAGTCCCTCAACAACGCCGTCAGCCACCACGGCAACAACATCTCCATGATGGAGCTCCAGAAATCCAGCGGCAAATCCGTCACCACGCAGACATCCGTCGACCGCCGCAGCAAGCTTCAATCCCTGGCCAGGTACGCCTCGCGCCTCAAGGTCACTCGCACCACGGTCGTCTTATTCGCCGTGACGGTGGCGTTCGTGCTGAGCTACCTGCCGTCCACTGCCGTCATGGTTGTGCGCAGCACCGTCAAAGACTTCGATAAAAACCAGTCGGCCGCGACGCAGATTTTCATCAAGATCTTCTCCAACTGCATGTTCATCAACAACGCCATCAACCCGATCATCTACAGCTTTTTCAACATCCACTTCCGGCGACAGGTGACCAAGACGGTGCAGCGAGTGTTCTGCTGTTTCCCCAGAAGGCGCCACCCGCCCCAGAAGGTGGATTCAGACCGGAGCACCAAGAAGGAATTTCTGCCCAGTGACTGACTAGCGTGGTGCGGCCGTGCGGCTAGAAAATGACGGCCACATGGTCAGGACATGACAGGCCACGTGATCACGACATGACAAGCCATGTGATCACGACATGACAGGCCACGTGATCACGACATGACAAGCCATGTGATCACGACATGACAGGCCACGTGATCACGACATGACAGGCCACGTGATCACGACATGACAAGCCATGTGATCACGACATGACAGGCCACGTGATCACGACATGACAGGCCACGTGATCACGACATGACAGGCCACGTGATCACGACAGTACAGGCCTAACATTGCATACTGTAAGGACATGACATGAGTTTGACAAGGAAATGACGCCTTCCGTGACAGATAAATTGGAAACGACTGACGTGCCACTTAGCCGAGAAAATGACTCGAAACTTGGTGAAAAAATGACTCGCAAAGAAATGACTCACAATTTGGCAAAGAAATGACCCTCCACTTGAGCAAGGAATGACTTGCAAGGAAATGACGCCAATTGAACAAGAAATAACTCGCCACTTTAACAAAAAATGACTCGCTATTAGGCCAAAAGATGACTCGCCACTAAGCCACTTGGCCAAGAAACGACTCGCTACTTGGCCAAGAACTGATACCCTGCTTGGCCAAGAAATGACTCGCCGCTATGAAAAGACACACTCACTGTACATCTACACAACGGTCTTTCTGAGATTTCCATCTGTACATATCCAGTTTACACGTGCAATAACTACAACACATGAACAGCGCTCAACAACGCTGCCTAAATGTGATACTAATTGATGTAATGTGATTCATTGTGCTTATAAATATTATCTCCACAAGTCAGTTAAACAGTTGGTATTCAACCATATATATATATATATATATATATATATATATATATATATATATATATATATATATATATATATATATATATATATATATATATATATATATATATATGTATGTATGTATGTATGTTTGTATGTATGTGTGTATGTATGTGTGTATGTGTGTATATTGCTTTTTCAATGCGTGATGTAATGAAACAACAGGAAACTACACGCTTTAAAAAAGCGTATGGAAGAAAAGGAACTCATTGTGATACTTATGTCTGTGAAATTATATGTGGGTGTTAATATTTGCAGATTTATTCGTGACCCATCTTGCACATGTGATGTATGTGTAAACGTAATTTTCACTACGTTATCTCCGTTTTATATTTTATTATTTTATTTTTTACTGCAACCGTTTGTACGAAAAATGAAAATCATTCTACACATTGTCATTTTATTTTAAAATGCATTACATATAGATGTAGAAACTGCTTTTTGTATTATTTTTTATAGCATAATATTACCTAAATTATTTTGAGATAGGAACTACCAAAATGTTATATAATTTTAAAATATTTATTTTAAATAACAATTTTTTGTCGGCCGGATTTTTTAAAAGACCTTTGTATATTTTTTTTCTCTTTATAGAATCAAAATAAATGGTGATCAAGTGTACTATGTCAATAGAAAAAAAATATCTTCGCCTTTTAAAGCCTTCCATGTTCATCATCATCGTTTGCCGAAAATATTCAGAGTAGCCGACCCTGAAAGTTTCGACTCCACTACGAAGGGACAAAGGGGAATAAATCTTAAATTGATCTGTAAAACATTATTTTTCCTGTTGTTTCCCTTGTCTTTAATTGTCTTAAACTTCATTTTAAAAAACCAAACAAAAACTTCTTGAAATCGTTTATAACCAAATGAGCTAATTTTTTGCATACACGTTTTAAATTAGCGATCTAGCTTAATAAAAAGTTAAATAATTAATTATATTTTTTTATATTATTATATTATTATGTGCAAGCTATAAACCATTGAAAAGTATTTAGCGAAATATTAATTAATTCCTTTTGAGAAAATGTATTAATTAAGTAGAATTAAATTTTAATTAAAATTCTTTTTTTAATGTCGAATGAATTACATATTAATTTTTAAAAAATTGAATGTAGAATCAATAAAATTTAAACACATAAATATATAACCAACCCTTCCTTTCCACCAATATTTTAGTGTTAGAGTTTTACATTTTTATTGGCTTGAAAAGTGGTTCCAAATCTATATAGGCCTAATCATTGTAAATTTGTTAACAACTCTTTTAAAAAATATGGTAGGCGATAAAATTGTTATATAAAAAAGTTATATTTTATAGATAATTGTGTTATTAATTTACTATATTTTAAATTCAAACCTGTTAAATTGTGTAATTACTGGTTCCAAAGTATTCCGAACTATTACTGCGAGAAAGCATATTTTTCTTTACTAATATTTAGAAAGAGACCCACGCTTTTCTTTATAGTTATTTGAATGAACAGAAGTAGTTATCTGTAGTAAAGTTTAATATGTACACTGATTTTTATGTTTGACTGAGGTAATGTTACATATTTTTGTACTTTTGTGAACAGTGCTACTAAGTCATGGGAAAATTGGATGAAATCGATACATCATGTGAACTTAAATATGATGCATACTAAATGTAAAGGTTAATCAGATATATTCACTATCTATAGGTCGATACTTATCCATAAATTGAAGGTTGATTAAATATGTACATCATGTGGACTAATAGAATTTGTACATCATGTAATTATTGATTTCTTTGTAAGTTTGATACAATATTCAAATTCATTATGTGAAGATTAAAGAATGTGTATGCTCGATATCATTTCAACATTAGAAATGTTGTAAGGTTGATATTTCATGTGCAGGATGCTAAGACAGAATATGATGTAAAGTTGATGCGATGTTTACATACATTATGCAAAGTCTGAAGCTGTTTAATATGGGATTTTTCTTTAGCGTATGTGTATGTTAAACGGCTTGTCAGCACCACACAACTAATGTATTACAGCCTTATTCAGTTGAACAATTATATATCTGTTCCAATGGGCTTACATAATGATAAGTTTGTAGATCATTTGTAGATTTGTATGTGGGCATTAACCAACCGTAACATATTAAAGGACTTAGCCAATGTCTAAACAAGTCATCATGTCTGAATCGGAACAACCGTAAAATAGAACTAAGCATATTGTCTAAATGTGATAGAGACAATGAGACAAGGATTCATGTATTTTCCACTTCTCAATTTTGTATCAAGTATTAAAAATCTCTTAAATAGAACTATCCATAATGTATCAATAAAACTATCAATAATTTATTGACAGTTTTATTGATATCATTCATTACTAATCATGTCCCCTCCATACTTTCTAAAATAGAATATTCATAATGTCTAGAATAGACATATCTATAATGTTTAAAATAGAACTATCCATAATGTCTAAAAGGGACAGTTTTAAAGTAATTGTATTTACATCAATGATAGAGATGTATTTCAGCTTAGTCTAAATATTCCTGCCTAGCCAACATTTAACCAAACAGGCTAAATAATCATGGCTTGTCTATATTTAGCCAAACAACAGGCTAAATAATTCTGCCTGGTTTATATTTAACCGAACATTAGGTTAAATAATCATGTCTATACCCCAGATGCGTAGCGAAGGGGGGGGGGGGGTGCGGACCGCACCGGGTGACACCATTTAGGAGGGTCACACCAAGGGAAAAAATAGTAAAATATATAGAGACAAATTTGAGGAGGGGGGGGGGGGTGCAAATCGAAAGTTTGAGGGGGGGGGGTGCAAATCGAAAATTGAAAGTTTGTCCCCGGGAAGAGTCGCTACGCCTCTGGAGGGGGGGGGTGACACCATTAAGTGCCGCACTGGATGACACCCGACCTCGCTACGCCACTGCTATACCCATAATACAATAATTGATTAGCAATCCCATCATGTCTGTCATCATTTTAAGTTGGAGTTTACCATAACATTTTATACGCTTCACTATCAAGATTCAAGTCTGTTTATTTGTCAGAAAATGAGAACAAAATTCTTCTTTTATTTACCTTTTTTCGAAAAGTATATTTAACAGTTTTGTTTGAATGACTGCTTTCATTGATAAAGAGGCAGCAAGGCTGGCTAAACTCAAACAACATAATTATGTATTCCAGTAAGAAGTGTGGTTGTTATGGTAATTTTTTTAAAGACTCTTTTAGATATAATGTAAATATTTAAGTTCACACATGTAAGCCATTTTTTTTTAATTTGTGCATTATTTTTAAAAGCCATTTTTGTTTAAGTGGATTGTGCAATAATAAAAAAAAGTATTCACTCTCAGTGTTAAGAAATTTATTGAATTATATACGGTAGTAGGTAAGGGAAGTTCCTTTTCAAATCTGACGCTCTGTGATGCAAGTGAAGTAGAGTTAATCTGTTTCTGTGACTTCGGCATAGTTTGGTTAACACTATGCCCAGCCGTCTATACTTTCCCTAACGTGAGTAAGGTACCCATCAAAGCTGGGTGAGCTCAGGGATGTTTTACTGAGTTGAACTCGGCGTTCGGGTTAGCTGCCTAGCGCTCTACCGCTAAGCCACGCTGTTCCCTAGTTATATTGTAGTAGAGGGGTTCTTGATGGGTCTTTTTTTTTGTAGGGGGGGGGGGGTGTTTTTGCAAAGTAAATTTTTAAAGGTATGTCCCATAAACAATATAGGGTGTAATTATGTGCTGATTAAAATATCTTAATAAATACACATTAGTGTTTTAACTAATTAAGTCGATGATTGGATCCATGAACACAGAAAATACAGGATTTAATTAAGTTACTAATTGAGCACATACAATATAGAGATTGAGATGGAAAATGATTTTTTTTAAATTCGTTTAATTTTCAATAAGTTAAAACTGGGACTTTTAAAAAAATCAAACGGAAACAAAATGGCGTCACACTTCCATTTGAGGGGGGGGGGGGGTTAAAACTTGGTGCTTAAAACTTAAGTGACGGAGCTTTACCTTAGGGAAAGGAGTGGGTTCATTTATAAAGTGTGAGGTAGCCAATAGGTGATGGTTTTTCAGAATGTGAAATTTGTGCTTTTGGATATTCATGTTTAAAAAAAAATTAAAGCACTGAAATTGACAAGAGCACGTCTACGGCTACTGATGTAAGCAGTGTCATTTTGGGATTCAATGGGGTGGGAATAGGGTGGTAGTAGGGTGGGAATGGGGTGGT